GGCGAGTAGCAAAGGGTGGTTCCATTTTTTTGGGCCATCCACTCAACAAGTGAGCCAACAACCGCTCTTGTTTCCCATCAACCTCCCATAAGTGTCCTTAAAAATCAGTATGACAAAAAATAAAGAAAAACACAGAAACAACATGAACCAGATGGTTTCTGTTTTTTAAGGTACCGGTTCGCCCAGGGAAGTTCCCATGGTGCAACAACAAAAAAACAAGCGTCCCTCAAACGCCATGTTTTTGTTTTTCTCCCGTCTTGGGCAGAGTCTTGGGGGCCATCGCGGGGAAGGTGTCTGCTCGAAATCCCGAGTGTGCTCTTAAAGCCCTGGCTTTTTTTCCTCCCATTTTTTTGGGGGGGCCGTCCGGCCATCCACTCGGGGGGCCGTAGTTGCTCGACGTGAGGCGCCCTGCTGTACAAGGCCCTGCAGGCGGATGGCGTCCAGGTCCGAGGCCTGGTGCGCAATGCCCCTTGGCCTTTGAAAAGTGGGCCAGCCGCCAAAAGGGCCGCACTCGGGGGGAAAAAGGGGGGGGGGGGGGTAGCGGGGCTTTTTGTGGTGTTTCATGTTTGTTTGTGTTTGTTGTGTTTTGTCTTTCTTTTTTTTTTTTATGTGTTTTATTGTGATTACTGTTGTTGTTTTCATTTTTTATTGTTGTGTTGTTGTTTTGTTTGTTTAGTGGCCTCAACAAACATCCCCGCGACCTGCCAAAAGTGGCAGTTTCAGATATTTGTGTTTCACCTTCTAGGATTTTCTGCAAACAGATGCCAAGCTAGTTTTCGTGTTGGGATCTTGCACTAGTCAGCAAAAAGAGGAAATCCTGTGACCCCTGTTGCTTGGTGTTGGTTGATTGGTAGAGCCAACCTAGTGGTATCCTGAAAATGATGAATACGGGGTCAACACCGCTTTGAACTTCGAGAAGGGATTCTGGCCCCACAGCTCTGCGCCGTTTGCTTGCTCGCGCGCACAAAGATACTTTGTTTGAACACTTATATCTTACGTGAAGTGGCAAGATATCTCATTTATACGCACGAAGAAGGTTTTTCCGCGTCTCTGTGCGCACGACGTGTTGTGTGTGTGTGTGTGTTATCTGACATGTTGCTCTATGGGCTGTCTCTCTGTGCACTGAGCAGACCAAGTCTTGTGTGCTATCTATTTGTGTCACGTTGCTCACTATCCCCCCGTGCAAGAGGCAGGCGATCTTACTTTGCGTTGCTCTGCGCGCTGTCTCGCTCTCTATTATAAATGTATTATACATACAGATGCTTTTGGGGGAAAATATATAAACGTGTATCGGTCAACTCTGCAAGAAGGTGTGCCGTACTTCAACCCGCGCGGCAGGTTTTGAGTTGGCTTTGCGCAGGCTGTGAATGGCAATGTCCCCGCTCCAAACGCTTGGCACAATCTAACATCAACCAAAAGCTTTAAAGCTTTGCAATCAGCGTGCTAACTAGCCATAATTTCTGAATCCGAAAGGAGGATTCCCAGACAATCCATGTAGGTTCTATATTAAAGAAAACAAATACTAACATGTAGCTCCTTTCAATTCAAGGGTAAATGTGGGCATAGCTACATGGATTGTTGGGGATTTGGTCAGTCTTTAGCCTTTCTGGGCCCTATGTCGCCCCTGTGTCTCGCCTCCCCAATTTTCACCCAGGTCACCAAAGCGCGAGAGATCCTCGGATGTACCGCCTGCAACGCGAGCGACGGCATCTTTGTTGGGGACATCACCGAGCCACTGGGAAGACGTGGCTTTCTTCAGCGAAACTTTGTTTGGTTTGTAAGGGAAGCCGAAAGGAAAGCAGCAGGAATTTGCGGTGTGTGGGGGGTCCCTCTATTTTCATACACATACTGTACCCACATCAAGCTTTAGGTTTTTGTTTGGTGGTTTGAGGTGTTGCGTTGAGGGCCTTGATGGCTCATCACGGTCCAGCTGATTGGCAGTTCCTTGACCCTGCTTGCTTCCTGGTGCTGTCCTTGTTAGCTGTCCCCACATGGTGCGTATGTTAGCTACGTTTGTTCGCTGGTGGCGGTGCTTGCAGCAATCAGGTACATAAGAGACATTGTACATCGGGGCAATGACTTGTACTCAACGAGTTTGGCCGCACGTCACTGGCTGGGTGCTTCAAAGCTCAAAACACGCATTCCGAACAGGAAGCCCAGACAAAATGGATTTGACTAGCTACTTTTGCCAGTTGGTCGCCACAAGTCGACCCGGCGCACCTGGCGTACCCTGTCACGTTGGCAACCCCTCCCCCCACGGCGCCAACCAACCAAAGCAATACAGAGAAATGGAAATTGGGACCCTGGCAGTGAGGCCAGCGTCGCTTGCGGCTGTGATGAAGGGCGCAGATACCCTCGCCATTGCCACCGCCTCTACTCCCGTCTGCTCCGGGGGCATTTTCCCCTTCAAGAAATGCACCTTCCACAAGGGCGGCCCAGCTGAAGCCTGCATCCGTGTGTTGTTGTTTTTGTTTTGTTGGTTTTTTTCCCGCGCGCTTCCTTTTGAATTCAATCAGCAGAAGAGTAATTGTCAACTAGATGTTGCATAAACTTGCCCTTGTTTAGCGAGGTTCCCTTGGTCAACCGGAACCAAACAACATCAACCAATGTTTTGTTTCTTTTCATGAAGTCGACTGCAAGGTGCCGAGCCGAAGAACATCGATTGGCTTGGCACCAAGGCGGGGCTTGATGTTCCATGAGCCATGGGTTTGTCTCAAACAAAGAGAACCCCCCGAAATTGCTTGCTGGTGCTGGATTGTTTCGAGTTTATCCTGAAACAGCCCAAAAAAGGCCTTGAACAAGAATCCAAACATGGGAATGCAGTCTCCAAACAACAAGCCCAGGAGATCCATTAAGGCCTTTGAGTTCTTCCGCAGGGGTTTCTGAATCGTTCTGCCCAAAAGAGGTACCTAAAAGAGGGCTCACGAGCCCTGCGTGACAGTAGGAATCCAACAGCAGACAATGAAGTGTTCTATGTATGTCTATGATGCTCACTTCCCCCCTCCCCAAAAAATAAGCACGGCCCCCCCTATTTGATATATTCGCCTGGTGTCCGCACCATATTTAATAACAGGGTACACTTGTTCTCCAGCAATTCTCACTGCAGTCCTTGGTTTTAGTATTGTTTGTTGTAGTTTTCTTGTATTGGCCTAGTAGCTTAGTATGGTTGAATGTGGGTCTCTAACTGTCCCTCTACTACGACTGCAGCTGGGGTCAGAGTTTGGAATTGGTTTCGGTATTGCCAAGTCCAATTTTGTATGGGGAAATTCAGAGTTTGGGTCACACATACATTAATTAGGTGCATCTATTGATAGGGGGAAGGGATTATTGTAGGAAAACAGCCCAGACCCCCCTTGCTCAGCCTCAGAGCCTTCTCAGGAGGTTCTGGAAAAGGGTTTGGGAAGTTGCCACGGCTGACCTTGAGCCTCCCGATCAAAGCTGTCAACTACCTACAAACCAGAATATGGGTATGTGCTTTTGCAGGCTACCCTTTTCACCTTGGTTCAATGTAATACCGAAAGGGGTCGGAGTGGCCGAAGAAACAAGAGCTCACTTTACATCCAGACACGTCTCACTCACTCGCTCGCAAGGCTCAGTTGGAGGCGTTCGCAGAAACGGGCGATGTCAAGGCGAAGCAGGTGCTGTATCATGGTATCAGGAAATGATGCTTAGCCCATGGATTCGTCAAGAATATGGCCCCTGTTTCGACCAGCCCCCGATGTGTTCGCTTTGGAGCCACTAACACCCTAAAAGATGCTTGCGATGGGATGTGGGTTGTGTTTGTGTGTTTAAGGTCATGAGTCTTTGTCGTACAAAACCTTCACTGCTCTTGGCAAGACTTTTAGTTGTTTGGTTTTGTCCATTTTAGCAGGGGGTGCAAAAACACAGTTTTTGGCAACCATACCAAGGGTTGTGAAGACACATCTGAGCGCTTGTTGTGTTTCTTTACAAGTGCACTGCCACGTTTTGAATCTGCTCTTGGCTTCCCCTAAGGTATGTCAGCACCATGGAAACCACAAAGCCTGACAACTTCCTGGACAAGCTTGGCAAAGGCCGCCGCAGACTCGTGCCCACGTTTTATGGGAGCCCAGGAGGAATAGTAAAAATCAGTTAGATGGAACCCCGATGGCCCCATTTCCTGGTTGAAATCTGTGTGTGTGGCTATTGGTATGCTAAACTGCTTGTTTCGCGCGGAGACATAACCATTGAGATGTGGTGCGATGGCCCATCGGAAAAGCATTCACCTTGTTAGCGGATCCCCCTTCTAATGAATGCGCAAGGTTGATCAAGCCGTCAACCAGTAGCCTCGCACTGCTTGCGAGGCTATGCGAGCTTCTACCATTTGCTGTCGGAGGCATACATCATGTCCTCTGGAGTGCCGTTTACCATTGCTGCTCAGCGGCACTTGAGTCGACAAGTCGAAGGCGCAGTGGCGTCAATTCGTGCCTTCAACAGGAGTCCCAAGAGAGGATCGCTAGTATTCAGGGCAATTTATGATTGTGTGTTGCCAAATTCAGGGTCCCAAAAACTCTTGTTGGATGACATCTTGAGAAATTCAGGGTCCCAAAAACTCTTGTTGGATGACATCTTGAGGAATTCAGGGTCCCAAAAACTCTTGTTGGATGGTATCTTGCGGAATTCAGCGTCCCAAAATCTCTTGTTGGATGGAATCTTTAATAACACTTGAAGGACATCATTACGTCCCCATATATATATATATATGAGAGAGGACACACTCGTGTTGACGGCCCATGTTCTTCAGGGATTGGTAGTTCGATGAACGACGTGATCCCTCCTTCCGGTCGTTGCCCTTTTTGGCCGATACCGAAGGCAACAAACTTGTTTGCTTTTGCTCACTCCCTCAGTTCTCGGGGTTCGGACCTTTTCAGTGGCAAACAACATCTTTTTGTTTTTTGCTTTGTTGGGGATAGCTGTATACCCGGCTTTCTTTGGATTTGTTTTATCAAAATAGACCAAGGTAAAACCAAGCCGCGGCGGCTCGTGAATTCCGGCTAGGGCATGTAGCAGGCAACAAACAAGTAATCCGCACGCCGGCGGGGTTTACCAGAGTAGGCCATAGCAGGTCTGTGCATGTTTGTTCTACATGGACACGTGTCCTGTTGGACTTACGCTTTCTTCTATTCTGGAAACACACCCCCCACCTCAGCAGATTTGTTGCATGCTTGCTTTCGCCATCGTTGCTTTGGATTGTTTCCCCACCTGCAGCCAGCACTTACGAGCCACCACTTTCCCATAATATGAACTATTGGGAAGAAGGACCGCCTCTTCACCTGGCATGTTGTGTGCCTGTTTACTTGCAGCATTTATGGAAACAGCGGCCTTTGGTCAGCATCGTTAATATTTACTCAATTAGGCTAGCAAGCTGTGGTGCTCCAGATCGAGCAAGAACGTGGAATCGTTGTTTGCATTCCATTCGGCCGGGTATAGTAGGATACACACGTAATATTGACATTTGTATATATATATAGATATACCTGGGCCCTCCTAAGTATGCCTTTTTTGTGCTGTTTGGGCCAAAGGCTCCTTTTGGTGCAAACGACACATTTTTTGGCCTCAGCGCATTTTTGCATATTTTGCTGTTTTGCGAAACCAGGATGAAGACGAAAAGGCGACATTGCCCGACCCAAGGCGACATTCCCCGACCAAAAAGCGACATTTGCCGACCACGTTTTGGCAAGATTTTGAAGTAGCACTTTTAAAAGGAAAAGGCTCTTTTTGGAGCAAACGACACAATATATAGCTTTTTCAGCAAACGGCAGAAAAAATGCACACCTGGAGGGTCTAGGTATACACATGTATGCAGCATGGCTAGAGATAGAGAGAGAGAGAGAGACAGATTTGGAATCATCTATATCATGTTCAGAAGTGTTCCCAGCATAACGTGTGAACTATGACCCTTGGTTTCCCTCTGCAAAAACACGTGACCAACGTGTCGAGTCAACGCCTTTTTCGCAAGTGCCCTTGCTGCATGTATTGCACGTGTTCTGTGTTGGCAACACGTGTTTGAACAAACCCCTTGTTCGACCTTAGATTGACTTTAGCCACTGTTTCTGCAATCCTTGTCAGTAAGGGCCATCCTTGGATGAACATCCCAGTTCGTAGGCGGTACGCCAAAGAACGCGCGACTGAAATTTTATTAATATTGAATCTGCCAGAAGGCTCTGGCAGGAAATTGGTCTGGGAAAGTCCAGCAAAAAACTTTCGGGTGTTGCCCTAGGATTTCAATCCTCGGATCTTTCCAATATGGGATAGTCCAAGTAGGGAGGGGTGACCCACAAACGGCAAGTGGAATTGATATCGCACGGGGTACTCCCGTCATGTTGGGCCATGATGTCATATGGCATATATGGATAGCTAGCATAGGATAGGTTAGGATAGGATTGGATATGGTTGGATGAACGGACGAACGGATGGAATCGATGGAAAGATACACCTGGCTCTCGTCTTTGAAATCCCCAGACGGGGTCCCTTGGTACACTGATTTACAGCCAAAGGCATTGCAACATCCGACGCCTTAGCGACTAGGCTAAATTGAGGGCCATGATGCTATGTTGGGTGTGTCTGTTTTTTGGGAGACCCTCAAAATTGTGGTTGTCCTTTTGGCTTCCATTTAAAACCATCAGACATGGGGTACCCTCAACAAAAATTGGTGATTGTCCTTTTAGCTTCCCTTGAAAACCATCAACCACGGTGTACCCTCAAACGACACCCCCATTTTGGACTGGGAGCTTTGACTGCTCCGAGGTCAAGGCGTGCGGCCTAGGCGACGGCGAGCCGGGGAAGCACCGCTTGTTGGTGGGCCATGACGACGCCTCTTTTAGCCTGGCCCTGAACCACGAGCGGCTCGGCTCGGATCGAAAGCCCTGGGGAGAAGAGCTCACTCAAGCGGAGGATTCCTGGTCTAATGTTGACCCAGGATCTAAGTAGAACCCGTCCCACTATTAGGGGGGTGTTCCCTCCAAAAGTGGTCTGAATCCCCACTAAACGGGGACACCCCCCTATTAATCAACCAGGGGTTTATTAATCCGGGGTGAACAGTACTTTAGAACTATGGTAAATCAAATTGCCCAGACTTGGCTCGGCAAGCATTCATCCCAAGGCAATTAATAAAGCAAAATGTTGGCAAGGCAGTTGTTGCTTAGCCAACATTATTAACTGCAAATTCCCAGACATGGTTATGGACACGATCCCAAGGCAGGAATTATTCAGGTGCAAACTTCCGGATGTCCAACACACCAACATGAAAGTTGATAGAGTATCCTTCAAATATTGGATCATAGAAACATGTACTAGAATGAAGATCACCCAACATTCAAAGACGTACCGGAAAAGTTAGGTAACGTTACTTAAATACATGAAAGTTGTAATGAAGAAGGATAACGGACATTATGGGATAGTCTTTCATGTAACATACAATAACACCTCAGATTTAGAACTGTTGTCCAAAGGTTCAGAGATATAAGACATGAACATATACCGGAAATTCATACTCATAGTCTAAGCTTTCCTGTTCTTGAAGGTGACAAAGTCATACAAGTTGATGGTGCTGGCTTCGTTGCAATGAGGGGATTACAACCAACGAATCAAGTGGCGCAGCTCGGCTTGGCTGGGCAAGCTTTGAACACATAAGAAATGGTTGGAGGGAAGATATCGACCCGAGTTCCCAGAGACTATACAATGGGATTGGAAAATGACAGGGAATATGTCGGCACTCTTTGCTGGTAGTGTCGTCATTGCAAAGGCACCCAACGCAGCTTGGTTGCACACGTTGTTGGAACAAAGCCAAGGCCCTCAAAGGAAAACAACACGGAGGTTATTGAAACAGTGGTCGACCCACAGAGGCACCATTTTGGGCGAACGACATTTTCTTAGACGGATTTCCCATTGCCCTTTCCTCGATGGTCGTTGCACTCGTTTGAACACCGGCTGACACCCTTGCAAGAACCAACACCAACAAACGCGCCGTTTTTCCACGGGCACTGGGCTGGGATGCGAACCATTGGGGACGATGGGTAGAGCGACAGCGACATTCTGGTGGTAAACGATGGACATCTTGGACCGACCCCTTTTTGGACCCTCGCTTGGGGGGGTTGACATATGCAGAGACAGCTTTTTCATGTCATTCTACGTGGATTGCACAGAGGTGGAGCAATCTAACCATGGCCCCTTGAGGGAAACCAACAATAAGACACCTGAATTCCAGGTTATAGCTCACCAGCCGTTTTCCAGGTCTTTGACGTGGGTTCCCTTGGTTTCACTGGGAGGACCTGGAATCCCTTTGGGTGACCTAGATCAGTTAGATGGAACCCCGATGGCCCCATTTTCTGGTTGAATTCTGCTTCTGCTCAGCAGTGGCTATTGGTATGCGAGCTGCTTGCGTCCGACCGGGAAAAGAAAAACACACACACACACACACACACACTGGGCCAAACCAACACTTCTGAATCCCCCGATCTTTCGCCCAAACCAACACCCGCCATCGCCATCGACATCGCCAGGGTGCACCGGGAGGACGTGGCCCGGGTCTTGGCGGAGGCCAGGCGCGCGAAAGCGAGCGCGATGAAGGCGGTCCTTTTCGAAAGGGTCCCGGCAGGCCGTGTCCTGGACGTTTCTTCATGTTAAACAGTTGGTTTAGTGGTTGTTCCTTAGGTTTTTTGTGGTTGTTCCTTCTTTTTTTAAATAGGTTTAGTGGTTGTTCCTAGGTTTTTTCATTGGCCAATCCACTCAGAAACTATATTGGGCTTCCGGGTTCCGTGTGTGAACTGGGGGGACAAAGGCAAGTGCTTTTTGACTAGCAGATGGGGAACTTAGAGATGCTGGATACTTAAGTTTCTGAATGGCAAACCGCAACAAGTAGGCGTTTCAAAGCCGGCGTGCCAATTCCTTTGCGCTGGCGCGTCAATGGCATGCCCCCAACCAAGGATGCAGCACACCGTCCCAATTCCCCACATGACCCCGGCCCCAAAGATACCGCAGAGAGGTCCAAACACACAGTGGTTTGAGGAGTACATAATAGATTTTACCAGCGGGATACCAGGGGCAGGGGAATGTGATTGTGTCCTCTTTTTGATATCTATATATATATATATATGTATATATGATATGATATGCGTAGACGAGACGCATTGCAGCTGAGTTGTTGTGTTTTTTTGTCGTCGGCATGTGGGTAGGTACTCGAACTAACACACTTCAGCAAGCCTTCGACGGGGTCCAGCCAGCTTGCTGCTAAGGGGCAGGGCCTCAATTTCAAAGGACCCAGGCCCGAAGGCTGCGGGAGCCCGGAATGGACATGGGCATATAGCGTGTGAAGGCCTCGGATGCGAGTGCGTCTTGGCACTGGCTTGATGGGCTTTCTGGTTTGATATGGGACGTCCGGAAAACAGCAGTTTACTGGGCTTTGGTAGGATTGGTCATGGATCCCTCACAATGATAAGGGTTCCTGTACAGGGAACAACCATGAAGCATGAGGAGTTTTGACACAGAGAAGGCTATGGCTCGAATTGGAACGCCTTTCTCGCCTTTGCTCAGAAACAGTCATTGTCCAAACCAGGAGTCATGATTCATTCAGAGAACCCACATGTGAGACGAAGCCGATTCAACCTATCATGCAACCCGGTTGTCTTGAGCATCCCATTCAGTCGGAAGCAAACAATGTGAATGTGAGATTCGCATGAGTTAGAGGGAAGACAACGCTAAGCAAAGGGCTTCCGCTTGGACTGTCTTGTCTTATCTCCAACCCCGGAAGAAACATTTTTTTAGACTGAGATAGTACTTTGTTTTTCAGGCTGTCGTTTGCCTATTTCATGACGAGCGCAGCTATTCGGGTGTAAGATTTGGCTCACCATAGGTCCTTTCGAAATTCCAGTCTCCAACTCCAAGTTGGCCAAGCCCAAAACCTGCAGAGTCCCTGGGGTCCTTCTGTCCGCTCCAAAACCTGAGTCCCAGTCCCAGCCCCCCCCCCCCCCGTGTCGCACCGCTCGACGGAAGTCGCGCGGAAGTCGACTGCCAGGCCATCCGCCACCGCGAGGTGGGCCTGCGCTTCGACTTCTGCTCCGCGGCGCTGGGCGAGCCCACCACGGACCGGGCGAATGACGCGAACGCGACCGCGACTTCGAAGTTCCGTCGGATCGATGCGGCGGCGTCTTCCGGCATGGACATTGTAGATTTGCCAGCAATTGGTGCCCGTTTCGTTGACCCCTTTGTTGGGTTGGGAGGGTTCGGGACCCTACTCAAATAAGAAAAAAAGGGTGCCAACTTATTCTAACCTCTCTACTGGAGGACCTAGGGTAACTTCTGTTTAAGCTGAAATGGGTATGTCTGATTGTCCCCGGTTGGCACTACTGGACATATCTTCTTATATTTTGTTCAGGGGGCGAAAAGCAAAAGGAAGGTATGAGTTGGACTTGGTATGAGTTTGACTTGCTGGTTCTCAGTAGGGAACGAGAATCGGAATGACACCTATGCTCCGTCCTTTGTGTTTTCCTTGAAGCGAATCCCCAGCTTCATTCCCAAGCGATTGTGGTTTGAAGACTCCATTTGCTGACGTGGATGTGCATTTTCCCTGGTGGTTTCAAAGGGAATCGATCACTGGACATATTTTCTTATTTTTTTTCCGGGGGGCGAAAAATCAACTGGAAGGCATGAGTTCTAATTGGGGACCCTTTGGTGGACCTCAAAATTCGGCGGGGATTTATCTCCGTGGGTTCCGTATTAGCCAAGGTCCCCCAGTAGTGCCCTTTGATCCTTTTTTGGGGGAGGGTCCCCTACTAAAATAGTCTACATACGTAGCCTGCAAAAGAAGCTGGGGACTGGTAGACCTCGCTTGGAGGGGTCGACAGTGCGCCAGGACATCGAGAAGGATGTGTTGCAAGCCGCGCGCTATCCGTGGGACCAGCCGAAGCAGGTTGTGGTCTGAGGGCGTGACCGCGCGTGAGCGTTTTTCGCTTCGCCGACGAGGCTGACGAGTTTTCTGAGGCGAATATGGACCAGGTCCACATCCCGGAGTTTTATGTTGTGCTGTATTCAGGCACCCGAGATCGGTTTCCAGCTGAGCCAGAGCTTGAGCCAGAGTTATCTGTTTCGCTTGCACACGGGGTTGGGCCTGTTTGACAAGGCCGAAACCGCTGGCTCACACCCAAACCAGGTTATTTTGGGTAGGTAAACCAAATAAGAATACATACTTCACCCAGATATGTTCTTGAATCAACCCGGGGTCTGCTCCACAATAATGTTAGACACTCGGATACTCTGGGTAGAAACCAGGCTCTCTGTTCGTGCAAACTTGGACCATCTTAGTTGTTTTTGTGTGCCTCAGACACATCTCAACCGCCTCAGATTTGTGGGTTGATCAATATTCCTGACCCCGAAATGACCATGGGCCAATGAAGAGCTCTTCCCATTTCGTGAATGTGAAATCTTTGTTGGTGGTTTCCCCAATTGTCACCCCATGCAAAGGACCATTTCCAAGGTTGACTGTATAGGTTCATCTATGAACCCATGGCCATGTTGGACCCTTTAGGGGCTGATTTCGCATACCGAAGCCACAACCAGCGCGGAATTCGCCCAGCAACTCAGATTTGGCCAAAACTTGCAGTGGTTGTGGCCCAATCCCGTGCGGGACCCCAAAGTCTCCTGTAGCTGGCTTGCAGCACGGGAGATGTCAAGAAAAAGCGGCCGGCCGACGGCGGGGAGGCACGGTTCGCCTTCAGGAAGCGTCCGTGCGGCTCAAGAAAGAATCTGGGGCTCTGAATCTGAATTACTTTTGGTTGGATGTTGAACTGTGGCGGTGTCAATTGAACCCACCAATCAATGAACATATTTGGGAAATCCATTGGCTGGGAAAAAGATTTCGCCCCTGACAGGTTAGAAACCATAGCCTTTTGGCGTTTCGGTTTCCAGGTCCAGTTTTTGTCATGCGCCGAAAAGATTATGGCTGTACATGGGAGTGTCCTTTTTGAGGCTACCCCTTTTGGTGCTGTTTTAGAAAGAAACCAACACACAACCGTGTTTTTGTGTTTAATTGTCTCTCAATTTTTGGAGGGGCGGTCCCATTGAGAGACAAACCCTTATGCAATCTGGCGCTTGAGCAAGCGAGTGATATCGGGGCTGCGCCCACCACTAGTTGGACTTTCAACCGCAAAGCTGTATTCATGCAATGTCTGTGTGTGGGTGTTTTTTAGGGGACCCCTAAAATGGTGGTGTTCCTTTCAGTTTCAAAAAAAAACAGATGCATGTGAGGACAATCTGCCGAAGAGCTGGATTTTTGTTGGTTGGTGTTCAGCGGGTAGCTTAGCGCAGTCCCTTCCAAATCGGGAAGGGTTTCCACCAGTCAAAGACAGCTTCAGAAAACCAAGGACATGAGCAACAGCTTCTCAGCGACCTTTTGAGATGGGTTTCTTTAAGATCAGCTTACCAGCCTCGCACAGATGCTCAGGAGTCTGACAAGAGCCCTTATCAGGGTTCCCAAGAAGGGGGTTGGTTGAGGCATACGCACCAATTCGTGCTGATAGTGTCGGCACACAGTGGCATACGCTACGTTGGCCCATTTTCTGTACCACCAAAAGCATTGCCTGCATCGTGACAGGGATGGCACTCTCCACTACGGTATGTCCATCCGGTATCACAGAAGGTTCTTGCTGTACCTCCTTCTTCTCCTTGTTTTTTCATGCCTCCTGCTTCCAGGCATCTCAGATCGTGGCCTCAAAAATTCCACGGGCTTGATTACCTTGATTAGGCAAGCCTAGGGGACTATCACCAGGAGCTGTCCATAGCCTTGCAACATCCTTAAGGTTGAGTAAGATCTTAACACAGGCTTGTCCTGGGCTGATCTCGGGTGCACACCCCCAACAGACTCCTCATACGGTCCGTTGTATAAAGAAGGGATCCGGAACTGCCTGTTGTGTTCCAGCAGGACAGCATCGTTCAGCCACGCCCCCCAAAGACCACCTGAGGTGATCAGCATCCGGCCATGGTTGGCTATGTGACGCCATGAATGTTAACAAGGAGCGCCCTCCAAAGTGGTTGGTGGACATAAATCTCCACCGAAATGGTGTCCACCACAGGGTCCCTTGTGAACATTCACACCCATGTGACGTCATGTTCAACATCAGAGGGGGTCTCAAAAAGGTGAATCCCCTTTCAGATGGCAAAGGGGAACCAAAGGGAATGCCATTTCTACGAATCCCATTTTCCCGAAAAACACGTGACAACGAAATGGCCATGGGCTGATGGCTTTCTCTGGCCTCTCTGTTTCTTGTGCACATATCAAGCCCTGTGGCAAAGCGAGGTGATTTTGCCTCCAAACGCACAACGGCCCAGAGCAAGGTATTGCAATAGACAATGATCTTGTGTGTTTGCTAGACATGACTCAAGGGCAAGACGTCCATTTTCTTCTAGCAGTGAATCTGGGGACCGGGACATGCCCACGGAGCCATTCCGACCATCAACCATCACTTTTACTGAGGGCTTTTGTGGGAGGGGTGAGTACAGAGGATATGTCGATATATTGGAATCCCGCATTTGCCCAGATGGAAGGTGTGGAACGGCCTTTTCTCCTCCATCGTGATCGGGCATGCGCTGCGTAAATGGGTGCCGCAGATGAGTTATGAGGCGGGAAGATGGGCGGGAAGAGACCATGTTTTTCTGACGCCTGCAAGTGTTTCCTGTTTTCAATGGGGTTTCCTTCAAACTCAAGGTGCCAAGAGGCGGGCCCTTCAAACTCAGGGTGCCAAAGGGTAGTCTTTCCTTCCCATGGCCACGGGTGTGAATATGTTTCCCGCCGTGCAGCTTGCGCCTTTGCAACATGCTCAAGCTTGTGCCCAACACTGGGGGTCCCTTTCATTGAACTTGCTGGTGCCATAGGGAATGACCGAGGGGTGTTGGGACTGAACCGGTTTGGGATTGCCTAGGAAACCACCTGGCAATTGTTTAGAGGGGCCATTCCCTCATTCTCTAGTGAAACACCAAGTGAACCAAGACAGCAATGAATCAGCTGTCGAGCCAGGTTTCCTTCGTGGCCTGGGCCCCTCGCCCTTTGGTTCTTTGGGTGATTTGTCAAACGGGAAGGCAAATGGAAAGCCAGTGGGAACCTCGTCTTCTGACAAATTGTAGGTGCCTCACAGAAAAGGCGGCAATTCAATCTCACCCATTACCTTTCGTGCCTTCAGTGTTTGGTCTTCCATACTTATGCCCGAGATCCATAGTTGAGGGTTTCATACAGGCCAGAGTCCTTGCGTTGTGCCTTTTCTGATGCTGTTTGGCCAAGTCGAGCTCCTGCTCTGCCATTCATTTCGTGACTTATTGCCCTTCATTGATCTGAGGTGAATTATGCCGCTTGGGCAAGACCTCCTTTGTTGGGTTTGGGGTTTTGTTGTGTTGTGTGTTTTGCTTGGAAACAAACCATTCTGGAGGATCCACTAATAAATCACCCTTTTGGTCGGTCTTGCAGGGGAATCAACCCGGACTGATTTGTTCGGAGTGTTTCTCAAGTGCAAGACCATCTCTAGACGCGACACCCCTGTGAATCTGCAAGGGGGGAAAGCTACTACTGGGTTTCCATGAGTATTGAGACAGCCCCATTTGAGCTGCGAAGACCCCTCATTAATTGGCCACCACAGGCCGCTGAATATAACGGCATACTCCTATTGTGAGTCCAGTTCTTTTGTATCCCAATTGTCAATTCTAAGTATTTAGCCTGGTGGCTTGAAAGGGAATCTATCACTACTGGTAAATATCTTCATTTTTCCCGGGGATTCTGAAGCAAGTACGTTTGACCACAGGACATATCTTCATTTTTTGCCGGGGTGTCCGCAGAAAATACGTTTGGTAGAATCTGTCAAAGTTGTTTTGTGCGAGGCCCACCACCTGCTGTGCGCGCTCTTCGGGGCGATGCACACCTTGCTGGGGGTCTCCGCTTCCAAGCTGGAGGACAGTTTCCGCGCACGTCCCAGTTGCGGTTGTGGTTGCCTAGGTCCCCCCGCTAGGTGCCCTTTGACCCTTTTTGGGGGAGGGTTCCCCTACTAAAATAGACTACAGAAAATAGGGTACCCTTATTCTAACCTCTCTATACTGGAGGACCTAGTTGTGGTAAAACGGGGGCGAGTCACAAGGAGGAAAAACAAAAATGGCTCCATGCACCGGCACACCCCAACCTACTGTCTTTTGAGCAGTACAGGGGATTTTGAACATTGGAAGAAACAGTTGTTGGGTGCTGGACAGTGTTCTCCAAGCTACCCTCTAAACGACGTTTGAAAGATACTTTTTACCTCCGAATGTAATTTTGAGAACGCCTTATCATGTTAGCTTGGGACAGAGAAGAAGACCTGCTTACGCATGAGCGCAAAGACCCAGTGCAATGCTTTTTTTTTAACCTGTTTGAGGCGTGTTTTTGCTAAACTCAGCTGGTACAAAGGGGTACCCTGTTTCCCATAGCCACTGGGGTCTGGGTGCTGGACTGGGGGAATTCCCCTATGTTCAAGTTGGGAATCATCATAACTTTGGAGTTGACCCCAAATCCTTCTATTTATTCTGCCTATGCCCTTCCAAGCAATTTTTATTTTGGGTCTTCCACTTTCGAAAGCACCCCCATGAAAAGTTCCAGTCGCCTGTGGGAGTTTCGGGTTTGGACCAAGGCATTTCAACCCCGGAAAGCCCTTCATTTGTCCATGTCCATGATGAGTCAACAGCTTAGCTTGACCGTGGGTCGTGTGGCTGTTTCAATATCCCTCAGACAAACTAGGTCCCCCAGTAGTGCCCTTTTACTCCTTTTTTGTGGGAGGGTTCCCCCACCAAAATATACAGAAAAAAGGGTACCAACTTATTCTAACCTCTATAGTGGAGGACCTAGAATATGCCTCAGACAAGGACATGTTTCCTCATGCTGTCAGTGAGCCTTAGCCCTCAGACCTTCCTATGAGTCCTCCCAGCAACCTGAAAAGCATCAGCTGTGCGTAGCAAAAGCATCGATCAATCGGATTGTTTCTGCCCAGCTCATGGTCCAACAGCTATGGCTCCTTAGGATCCCTTCTGTTTGGTCAAGCGTTGGTAATATCTTGGATCTGTGATTTGCCTTCCAAATCATGATAAGACACATCTAAATACCTCGGCTTAGGGTTGAAGGTTCACGAAGCTCCCAGGTTTTGGACATGCGCGTTGGTGTTTTCATCTGCCAGAGTAGTGCCATCTCCAGGACTATGCCCAGCGCGAGGGCAGCAAGATGCTCCATTTGACCTGGGCCTGGTCCTTCAAGGAGCGCACGGTCGACGGAGTCGGCCTGGCAAGAAGCCTCGCAGCAAGTCCGTTTTCCCCCGTTCATGGATTTCAACAGGGAACCACCTCAAAAGGTGCTGGTGGATATTAATCCCCTAAATGATGCTCAACAAAGCGTCCCTAATTTCAACTCATGCCCATTTTAATCATAGTCCGGGCAACATCTAAGGACCTCGTCAATTGAGTCAAGAGATTTAGTGTGCGACTGACTTTTTGCCATGAAGTGTATTTTCTTGGCAGCAGCTTCCTTAACTCGGGGTTCATTTTACTTGGCGGTTCGCAGCCATCCGGTTCCTTAGGTTCTTAGGTTTTTAGGGTTTTGTGGGGGTGTCCATTTAACCAGAGAACAGCCCAGTACACTATTGCCAGATTCATGTGAGATTACAAAGCACATAGCCTTGCAGGAATTCCATCCAAGGAACAACTTGATAAATCCCTTCTCAAAAGTCACTTTGAGACCCTGGGATCATCTTCACGAAGGCGGCTCAGCTTGTGGAGTCCAAGAGAAGGGCGGGCGGGTCCGGCGCTGTGGAACCTTTCGGGCGAATTGCGTTTCATATTTGGTGGTTACCCTACTTTCAAAACAAACCCCACGGCCTCTGATGTTTATCCCCCATTTCGGGGCTTGAACAGGGTGGGATCATCAACGAGCTTTCCTTATGTTGTTTGCGAAGCTTTGTGTTTTCAGGTGGTTCGGGGTTGTGTTTATTGCAAAACCACATCTACTAAATCATACTGTTGTCAGGTTTGTTGGTTGCGTTTTATGCCATACTACATCTAGCAGATGCAAAACCCGCCCGCCCGCCCAACTGCTCTCCGTTGGACAATGTTGGGTCCATTTGGCAGTCATTGGGACGTGACTGCATCTATGTACTGTTGTGTTTGGTATTCGACGCCCGCGTGCTTGTATTATAGTTTACAGTCAACTCTGCTTTGTTTCATGTGTTTGTTTGCGTGCTTTTGCCAAACACTTTCACACACACACACACATGCACATGTCAGTTTCCTTGTGGCGCAGCCTAATCTGGACAAAATTAGGATCCAGCCCCCCCACCCCCCAACCTCCCTCCCCATGCCCTGTTTAGTTCTGTTGGAGGGGTTGATTCCTTTTCCGTTTTCAACAAACGTTCCTTTCATACGCACATGTTCAAGGTAGGTCCACCCCATCTGTGGAGGAGTGGGTGGGGGTGCGGGTTGCTTGGGGTTTGGTTGAGGAGGTCTAGTTTTGGTGTCAGCTGAAGGGCGTAGACTCGGATGAAGGTTGATTCGCCGTGACCGCTTCTTCCCTCGGCGCCTGGCCCGGACGGGTCACCCACGGAAATGGGTGGCCGGAAAGGGAACCCATGGAACCCTCAAAACCCGAGCGCGGCTTTGGTTTCCGAACTGCACCCTGGTTTGAAGGGAAACCCTGGGGCTTTGAGGGGAAAGTACGAGTGCGGCGCTGGTTTCCCTTCGCAACCAGTAGGTGCCCCAGTAGTGCCGTCTCTCACCCTTTCTTTCTTTTTGCGGGGAGAATTCCCCAACCAAAATAGACTACAGAAAAAAGATCGGGCACCAACAGTACCAACTTATTCTAACCTCTCTACTGGAGGACCTCAAGCCAGCCCCAGCCTCAAACACCAGCCCCAGACTCAAAAACCTCGAGGACGTGCTCTCGGTGATGCACATGGGCCAGCTCGGCGCTGCGGTGAGCCTCACCGCTCGCGGGAGGGTGGAACGAAGAACAGCGGGGTTCCCCCAAAAGGGAGAGCCTTTTGAAACTGGCTGAAGAGCCATGGTTGCGTCTTGTGTTCTTTTTCTTTTTTCTGGGGGAACCTGTTTGTGTTGGTTTCAAAAGGGAAACCAAAGGGAAAACCACCCAATATTGTTTTGGGGGGAGTTTTCCCCAACAGCTGAAAGGGGTCTCGGCCCAGATAGGCTTCGGGGTGGTCCCAGGCGGCCCTGAGGTAGCGTTCCACGAGGGTTCCACCAGGGTTCCACGAAGGCTCTGCGAGGGCTGCCGAGCACTAAAAAGAGCACCGCATGCTGTTGGGGATATCGCCTGAGCTTATGTTTTATTGGGGGTATCCTATTGCTCTTTGTTCATTTGCTCCAGTTTACATCCAGTAGCTCATTCGCAGGCCTTCAAATGTGCCTTCGAATACGTGGTTGAGATCTCTTGAATATGGTGGAGTATACATGTTTCCAACTTTATACTAACGTTTAAACAAACATGGGGTGCCTAAAAGCAGAAAGGAGGCTCCTCAAATAGCGACCATGTCAGTTTGCAGTGCGTTTGTTTTGTTTTCCCCCGTGGTGTTCGCAAAACACCCCGGTTGATTTCATGTCTTTTGATGTGTTGCTCCTGTTTGGGGCATGTGGGTACCAACCAAACAATGATCTTCTGAGCGATACATGTTCAGATGACATCGCAACATGTCCGTTCACTTGTGAGAGGCGGCTCACGAATCCTCTTAGCTGGCAAGTTTCGCCCCAACTGCCTGCGGTCGTCAAGGCTTTGTTGGGAAGACCGCATCCGCCATTTGAGCCACAAGCACAACCCGGGTAGATGAACGTTAGTAAGGGACACTGTGAGCCATAACTGGGCGCGACCGCCTTTTTTTGACTCTTTACATGGTTTTGGGTAGATCATTTTACCGGGTTTTGATTGTCTAGGTCCCTGTATCCCCCAGTAGTGCCCTTTGACCCTTTTTTGGGGCAGGGTTCCCCTACTAAACTAGACAAAACTGAAAAACAATCGCGTACCAACTTTTTCTAAACTCTCTACTGGAGTATTCTAACCTCTCAAATCTTGAGGACCTAGTTATGACTCATTTGGGTCCAGAGCCTCAGCTTCTCGAGCACCTCCCGCGAGGTGACGGCCATGTCTGCGCTGGGCAACGAGCCGCGGGGGACACAGCTTCGCCATGGGCTTCTTGCTTCGGGTCGCGTCCCATGTCCTTTTGAGGGTCCAAGTAATTTCCTCCTGAGGTGGCTTCTGGGGTGGCATGGACCCTCTGGGTTTGAGTATGTCCTTTGAGTGTGACAACTTCCGAACCCGACATGCCACACACTTGAGCCCCGAAGGTCGGAGACGTACATAACAGCCCCCAAAGGTTAGGGTCACATCGTGGACTTGCTGGGTCCAGGATCGATTCCTTAGAGACATTGCACCCGGCTCTTGCCGGGGCCCCTTGAGACAGTGATTTGCTTTTTGGGGACAGGCAGTCATTGAATGCTGGCTTGGGCTTATAACCGTAGAATGGAGCTTCCACCATACTCCTCACCAAGAACTGGCACCGGACCAGAATCGGACCCTTTGGGGGCAACGGAGGTTCTTTCAGGTTGCCTCAGACTGTCCTCAAGATGTCGTTTTCCAGACCTAGAACTACAGTGTGATTCTCATGTGTGTCTTGCGCGAACTTCTCGTTTTGTTCCATGAGGCTATCAATCTATGCGTTAGTGCTTGCGTTTGTAGCATTTTCCCAAGTGGGCGGACCTTGCGTGGCCATGGTCGTTTACACCTGGTAGTGGTGTTGCAGACTACCAAGCCCCAAGAGTGCATGCTGTTGTTAGGCGACTTGACGCATCACATTACCTTCTTGTCTTGATTATCTCGACTGCTCGGCGCGATGCCTCAAGGGGACGCCTGCGTTTGATTTTGGCGGGCGGATTCTTGCCGGTGCTCAGTAAGGAATGTGGGAATTAACCCAGAGATTGCCTTAAAAGAAGCCACAAGTTGATTGGTTTATACAGGGTCATTCCAATTCTCATTCCCTACCTATCGCACCAGCAAGCATTGGGATTGCCAGGTCCTATGCTGCTTCCTTCGCGTCTGGCATCGCTCTGCGTATCGCTGTTGGCCAGGACTGAAGGCTACATGGCTCCCGCGCAAGCATGGGAGAACCCAAGCGTTATGAAGTTTGTGAGGTCCAGATATGTTTACGCTCATATGTGCAAATGACTTGATCGTTTTTAATTGGTCATTCACAATGGAAATGCTAATTGAGCTATGGCCTCACTGAATTCGACTTAGACTGCAACTGATTTTTATTGAGGAGCTTCACAAGGGGCCTGATAGGGAGCCCTATAAGGAGCCCTAGAAGGAGCTTTGCAAGCAGCTGATGGAGGAGCCTTACTACCTTTGTAAGGACTCTTACAACCAGCTCAGCTTTGCGATTTGTCTCCTCCTCATTTTCAACCACCGCCAAACATGCCACTTTTCCCGTTCTCATGTGTAACAACACAAGAGCATCTCTTATTTCGGCTTACGGATGGACGAAATCCATTTCGCACCGCTTGGAAACCATGGTTGCAACCATTTGTTGGTATTTGCAGAGGAATCCTCAGCAACCAGGGTTTCCTAGGTTGCCTCTGCATTGGAATCATCCTTCCATTGTTTGTTTGTTGGTTTCCTGGGTGGTGCCTAAGAGGATTTCGTCCACAGTCGTCTCGTCGATCCTTTCCCTCCGCCAGGACTTCTTCCAAGGCCTTGGCTTCGTGCGCTCCGGGGCGGACTACTTCCAGGCGGGTGTGGGAAGCCGGCGTTGCGAAGCCAAGCCAGGAAAGGGAAGCCGGCAACCCTTGGACCTTTGGGTTGCTTGGCTTGGAGGCCAAAGGTGAAAACCAACCTCACTGGAGGTGCAACCTGATAGAGAAGGTTATGTCACAAGTGAATGCAACGGGAATGTGGCATTGCAGCCCCATGCACCACTGACTTACCCATAGCGTCTCCATTTGCCACTATATCAGGGAAGCAGGAGAACGGGGCCCTTTTTTGCCAAGCCAAAATTGTATTGGCCGGCCAACTTCAGTGGCAACTGGAATATGGGGCATGGAAGGTCATGAGCCAGAATATTGATGTGGCTCTCAGTTTCAGGGACCCCTTTGCAGAGGAAGGGCCATAGCAAGCCAGTGTGAGAAGTTGTCCCTTCTTTGAAGGGCTTCCCACATATTCTGGAAAGCATCAAGACATGGCCGGTTTGGTTCGTTGGGTGAGAGATGTTTTTGCAAACTATGGGTGAAACGATTGGCGGATAGGTTGTAGATCGATGATAACATTTGGTTGAAGTTTGTTAGGCGATGGTCCCGAGAACAGATAGGCGCGTTTTTTTTCTTCAAGTTTTTGATAAATTAAGGTTCTGAACCAGGCTCGGGCACACATACGCATCTGGAAGGCAGCAATTGTTACAAGTGCTGTTTTGTTCAGCAAAGAGAGCGATATCTGGACAAACAATAACTTGCACGCCGGGGATTACAAGGATATCACTCGTGATTAGGGTCCTGTGACTTTGCAATTCCTCATTTCAGGTTCGTAGATGATAAGAGACCAGAATCACTTGTGTTCAAGAAACGAAACAACAAGGTAATGTATACATGTATATGTAATATTTAATCAAATAACGCCTCATTCAGCAATTGCGATTGGTTCAGCAACTGCTGGTGATTGAGCAGAAACAACTGCGATTCAGAAACAGCAACTGCGATTCAGCAACTGCGCTTTCGCACCTATACTCCTACGCATGGCACGATTTAGCATGTGGGATTCAGCAACTGCGATTGAGCCACCAACATTTCTGCAATTGAGATTCAGCAATTGCAATTCAGCAACTGTGATGTGGCCAAATTACATTTAGCAGTTGCAATGCAGCAACTACCGTATATCGGCAACTACGCTACCGTTACAGCAGCTGCGATTCCTCCATTTTGCACCACTGGGCAGGCACCAGCACGCAACACACACACAAACACAACACAACACATACACACACATACACACACGCGCATGCGTTTGCACTGAAGCACCCCGTACTAGTCACTCCTTCGATGAATAACATTGTGTCTTGCGCCCTAATCTTTCAGCACTAAATCATGTTCAACGACAAGCCAACTTCAACTCAACAGATCCTTAGCCGACCCCAATTGTTCCTTTCTTCGCCAATTACAGCAAAGGGGTGACCCCATTTGGAAGAGGACTCAAGCGGCATGTCCATTAAGGGCGGACCGTGTTCATTATTAGGGGGAAACATTTGAATGATATGAAACTGTTCGTCCAGTTGCTGAATGCTAGTTGTGAAACCCGCTTTTGTTGCAGAATCCCAGTTTCCAAATCCTAGTTTCATATTTTCACCTTTTGGCTGACCAATCTACCATTGTCCTGATTCGTGATTGGCAGCTCGCTTGCAGGTTGCACTGAAGGACCTTGGCATTTCTTTGGATGCCGCTGAGGAGGCTGGACAGTCCAAAGACAAAGCGGCAGCTTGTCGACATAACGTTGTTTGAGTGACCACTTTCCAAATGTAAGCCTGAAGTTTATGAGGTGGCAGCTCACACATTTTCAAGTAATGAGGCTTTGGCCACGCTTTCTTACCTAGTGAATCACCTCAAAGAAACGAGAAGGTAGTGGGGATGGGATTCCCAGGTTTGTATCAGAGAACGGATAGCTTTGACCCATCGTTCCGCTTGAGGACCAAACCTCGGTGAGGTGTCTCTTTCTGGCGTCAGTTTAGCCTCAAGACCCGCAGTGCTCAGTCCAAAGATGACCCTTTTATCCCAGTGCTTCCCTGCTTGGTCCACTTGCAGTCAACGTGCAAACAGACTTCCAGGTGTTTTGGGCTACACCGAACGAACGTCGGAAGGATTCGAGAGATGCCACAGGCTGAACTGCCAAATTGAAATTAACATCAACAATCTCCTCCGAATGCACCCAACATGTGCTGATTCTTTTCGATCTCTTCCTGAGGCTTGCAGTTGCCACTTGAAGAGCTAGCAGGGTAACAATTGGTTGTGGTGTCCCGCCAACTTCTGAAGCGGGAACACGAAGCACTGGGTTTGTGTAAACATGTTCAATCCAGCAATGGCCAAACTACGGTTGAAGCCGCCTTGGAAGAACCAAGGGGTGACCTCCCACAAAAATGGGTTGGTGCACAGGCACCTTCCCGTTCCAAAAACAAATGTATTCTTGCATTCTCTATTCTTGTCATATACGCCCAATACACAACCTAATGTTATATATATATATATCAGAACGAAAACAACAAAACAAGTTGTTTTCCAATCTTTTGCAGTGCAGGCCATGTTTGGCTGCAGGTGGTTGCCTACAGTGGAGGTGGCATCGGAGACTGTGGAGGCACAGGGCGATTTGCAGTGCTATTTCTTTTGGGGGACCCCCACCACCACCAAAAGGAACAAGTCGTGGGTGTGTCGTTTTTTGTGGATCTCTAAAATGGGTGGGTTTCCTTGGTTTACGGGTGTGTCTTACTTTTTGGGGGACCCCCAAAATAGTGGTTTTATTTTTAGTATTCTTGTAAAACCAGCCAACAGGGGAACCCTCAAGAAAGACACACCCTGTAAATTTGGGAGGGACTCTTTGATGTGCCAAACTTCCCCACAAAATACAAGCCAACTGCGTATTTTGACTGTCACGCGGTCATGTATTGAATTGTAGACACTCTCCGAAAAGATATGTCGCCGTGGACGTTTGCGTGTCGTCAGTCGCAGGACCCCGTGAGGACACTTGACTTCGATTTGCTGCCTTGCCTCCGTTTGATATCGTAGCACTGGAGGCCTTCGACGGGCAGTTTTGTTTGAACTCAACGATAGTGTCTGTGTGCGTGTGGGGTGTGATTTTTGATGTGTACTACATGGCACGCTTCCCAAACGTCTGAAAACCAAAGCACCAAGAGTCGAACATTTTTCCCTGAAAGCCCCCGAAAGACATGCAGACCTCGGGACTCCAAACGTCTGTGAGTTGGTGATTTGTTCTTCCTTGCGTTTTGTTGTATCAGCGGATTCATGGAATTCGCCATGTGTTCACGAACCCGTGAGTTGAAAACCCAGGAAGTCCGTGGACACCCATAAGCCTCTACGGGGAATTGCAACTAGTTTTTGTTGGTGGAGTGGAGGGGTAGGAGGTTTTTGGAGGTAGGCGTGTTCAGGACGATGAAGACGGTCGTGCGGAAGCAGGGCAGAAGCAGTTTGAGGAAGCAGCGTTGGGAGCAATAGAAGAGATGACCATTGTGGAGGCGCAAGCGAGACTGCCGCAGCAAGCAGTTGCGTCGCTGGGAGCAATCGAACAGAAGGATGGCACCTTCAGAGTGATCCATGACGGGACGCACGGGCTGGATGTCAAACAGATTGTCTTGCGTGACCAGTTGAGAAACCCCACACCAGGCGATCTGCGAGTGGTGTTGCAGATGTTGCCAGTCGGGTTCCTTGCTCTGACAGATGTCAAGCGGGCCCATCGGCTCGTAAAGATGGGGTTGGCTTGCAGGACTGGCGCATGCAGGAATCTGCATTTACGTTTGCCCCCCATTCCAGCCTGTATCCCCGGAAGGTTACCGCGCCTACTCGTTCGGTGTCCTCCTTAGCTTGCGCACCCCAAGGCTCATGTCGCTACGATGCAGACTTCTTGCTGACCCTGCGAACCAATGCCCTCAGCACTGAAAGCAATCTTAATTTGAGGACCAAACAATGATCGCTTTCTTGTCTCACTGTTTTTTCTTCACCAAGCGAAAATCATTGAGACCGCTTTTGCTTCTTGGCACAAATACGGATGCCTCTCCCCCAAGGATTCTGACAATGCCCAGGCGGACCTTTCCGAATGCTCATCGGCGATGAAACGCAAGGCACTCAGAGCACCTTTTCATTTGGCTTGTTCCAGTGTTCAGGACAGGGGCTCTTTAAGTCTTGGGCTCAAATCGAGTTTGTTTTTCCCATTGGCCCATTTTGCCCATCCGACTTGTTGCCTGACGCCTAGTTTCGGGCTCAAAGCGAGTTTGTTGTTTTTCCCATATTGGCCCATTTTGCCCATTCGACTAGTTGAATTCCGGACGAATTTTGCAGGAAAGCCGCTACTTTTTGCTTGTCTACTTCGCCATTGGCTCGGGTTCTGCCCCAGCATACGAGCCTTTCCAATGGACAATTGAGTGAGAGGGTGAGTTGGTGGTTGCCGGGGCAAGTCAAGGTTGGCAAGACTGAGGAGATGAGTGCCAATAGGCGAGGGCATAGACTTGGCGTTTTGGATAACCCATTAGCTCAGCGTGCTTTGCTCGGATTGACCGGGTCGGATCCAATGATTTCTCCAATTACCCATTCCGCAAGGCTTGGGGAATTGGTTCAATCGGAAACCAAGGAACAAATCCACTATCAATACATTTCAATACCTATCGATAAGTGTTGGCAGTGAAAGTCCTGATCTTTATATCCAGCAGGTTCTCCTGTAGGATATATCTGAATGACCACTTCTCAGATAGCAACTACATAAACCTGAATAAATCTCTAAGCGCAGAAACAAAACAGCACATGCGCCCCACCAAGAGATGCTCTATTTGAAATTTGGCGTGTGTATGTGATTGCTTTCTCTTTCCAATTCATCAGTCCACAACAGGGCGGTTGAGACAGACACACTTCTTTGGGATTTTCTGCCGCTGCAAACAGAGGTTACCTCTTGGTAGTTACTGATATTTGAGGATACAGGCGTTTCTTTTTTTCCGGATAGCTTTTCTAGCATGGCTTTAAATGGAACAGAAAGGACATCACCAATTTAGAGCGCTTGCTTTGAGACACACCCATGTATCATCTAGCGAAACAGCAGGACATGCTACAACATTTGGAAGTTTCAGAGGGAGTTTTCCCTTTCCCGAAGCCGTAAGGCTGGCGTCCATTGCCGCTACCACGCTGAAGGCCTTCTGGGTTGCCGGTCACTCGCGTTTTTCTGCTCGATCCGCGAGCGGCTTACACGCGAGTTTTGAGACTGGGTCCTCCAGTAGAGAGGTTAGAATAAGGGTATTCTTTTTTCTGTAGTCTATTTTAGTAATCAGGGGAGCCCTCCCCCCAAAAAGGGTAAAAGGGCGCTACTGGGGGACCCAGGTCTGAGAGGGATCTATTTGTTTTGAGAGTGTTTTCCTTCCAATCAACCGTCGCTTGAGCTTAGCCCATTGGGCATTTTGTTTTGGGCATGGAGTCGGTATCCATGTTGCCGTTTCTTGTGAAGGTAAACCAAAGGGGTTGTGTCACAAAAGGACATGTCCGCCCCCCATGAATAAACGACGTTGATGAATTGGGCATGCCTTACAAGGATCATAGAGTACCGTCTGGTTTACTTGTAACGTTTGCAATTGTTTTCTCTACCTGTTGTGATTGGTTCTTTATTGTGAACGTTTCACGATGTTTCCTGTTTTGCTCGTTCAAAGTGAAAACGTGTCGAGTGTGCAAGATACAGCTGCATTCTAGCTTTTTCCGAGTCATTGATGTTTTGTATTTGCCAGACATGTAGTACACCAGAGTCACCAACTGCTCTGGAGTTGGTGTCTTGCATAATCCTCGAAACAACACAATATGTGTGTCATGTGTATCGCTCCTGACAAAAAAAATGGTTCCCCAACCGTCTTATATCCTGCAAGCTACACATTAGATGACATGTTGTCTCATCCAAAGTCGAAACAAGCTTAACAACCAACATCATACATATCACATTCGATGTCCTGAATATTATAAATTGTTTGCCCCTAGATCAAAGCAAGAAGCAAATACGGGTTCCCACAACAAGTGCGAGCACATTTAACCCTGATACATACAAAGGCAACATTTGAAGCAGCCGAAAACACCCCAATTTCAGATCCTGGACACGATCAGATCCTGATCGTCGCGCAGGATAACTTGTTTCCCCAAGGATTGACCGTCCTGAACTCGCTCTATAATCTATAATGTGCACAAGCAATATAATAGCAATATAATATATGTATATCTTTTGAGGGGGCAAAAGCTGAGGTAGTTAGGGTTCGTTTTTTGGGGGATCCCCTCTTTTGGTTGGTTTTAGAGGGAAACCAAAGCAAAACCACCCATTTTTGAGTGTCCAATAAAATAGGACACAGGGATCCAATAAATAAGACACACCTATGAGCCAAGGAAAACCACCCATTTTGGAGATCCCAGAAAATAGGACACACCCACTACAGTCATTTTCCTTTTGATGGTGTTCGGCAGGCCTGGCTGCTGCTGCTGCCAGCCCTCTCCACAGCTCAGTGGTTTCAGCGCACCATCCAAGCGCAACGCATGCTGGGGTCCGCCCACCCCCCCTCGCGGACGGGTGGCTATGAAGGTTAAAACTGAAACATATTGAAAAACACGCCAAAAGACATGCGCATAGATCGCAGTGGTTTGGGACAGATGGCTGTGAATGTTAAAATTGAAACACGCACCAAAAGACATTGATACCTACCAAAGGTCCTCGAAATGAGGTTCACACCCATATTGCTCCTGTGCCTGAATTTATTCAGGTTTGGTGTTTTGGGGATTTGCATTCTGCCCCCCTTTCAACAATCACTGAAGTAGATTTGTTCTTTTCACGATGGCTGTTCCAAATTCTTCCTGTCAGCTTGCATGCTTTGTGGGAAGGGGGTATTAATCAGCTTTGTTGACCTAACATTGGTGCGTGATGGTTTGTCAAATACTTTTGGAGACCCTTTCGCAGACTCGCTTTTGGAACCCTGTGGATGTTCCACCATAGACGCTGCACCTTGCGTGAGCTTCCCTCAAAAAAGAAGCCCTCGGTTTCGGCTGGGTGTGGGCTCTAAGCTTTGGGCAGGTTTGGCGGTCTCTTTCCTGGGTTCCCAAGCTAGGTGCCCTTTCTCACCCCTTTTTTGGTTGGGAGGGTTCGGGACCCCACTACAATAGACCGCAGAAAAAATGGGGTACCAACTTATTCTGACCGCTCAATTCTGGAGGACCTAATTTCTACAAGCTGGCCAGGTGGGGGGGGGGGGGGGGTATTTCGTCTTCTTTTTCAGACACAGCCAACTGACTGGCATCAAAATGGGGTGCTTCCCGGGGGCTGTATTCTTTATGGCTATTTGGGCACGGTTCTTGGGACTTCAACTTTTTGGGAAATGGATTTTGCGAATTGAACCCACAAAAACTTCTAACTTTTTGCAGGGGGGTCAATAGTAACTAAGATTTTGGGCCCCGTTCAAATGTTCAAAAGGGTATCCAGCTGATGTCAAGTTCGGACTACTCCAAAAGAGGACCATGCGTGAGTGATTGAGCCCTAGCTCTACGTGGTTCCTTCGAGGGTCGTTTGCAAGGAGAGACATTAGAACCCCCCCACACCCCAAGACATATTTTTAGGATCCGTCTAAGAACGAACCTCTCAGAATGTTCCATTACTAGGTCCCCCAGTAGTGCCCTTTTTGCCCTTTTTTGGGGAGGGTTCCCCTACTAAAATAGACTACAGAAAAAACATGGGTACCAACGTATTCTATCCTCTCTACTTGGTGAGAGCACCTTTGGTTTCCGCAGCAAAAACCTGTCGCATCATGTCGCATCCGACGCCTGACGCCCGCGGCTCAAAGTATTTTCCTCCGGTTTAAGTGCGCCAGTTTGCGCGTAGGCATGGGGGTGGCGGAGACACCGATTCAGATCCACATGGTGCCGACGTCGCCCGCAAGCAACTGGGCTTAAGGTTAGAGACTGCACAGGTGCTTTGCCAGGGATACACCCCTGATATCGCCACCCCCAGGTAAGAAGCCTTCTTTAGGACTAATCGGTTTGTGCGGGGGGCGGCCCCTGGTTGATAAACATGAGAAGGGGCAGCGCAATCAAGGGGTGATCCTTCAAATCTGGTGGAGTTGCACCCATGAATCTGGGGGGCTTATGATTTCAAGGTCGAGCTGAGGCGGTTGGAGAGGTTCTCTTATCCCCACGCCTCAGTAGTGTTTGCCAGAAGGGGGGGCCCCTCAAACCATACATTTTTCCGATATGTGGGAGGGCCCCTCAAGTTCTTCTTTTGGTGGCTGGGGCCCCTGTTGGATGGTTGTGTTTTGAACAAGAGCAACGGTCCCCATTGAGCGCCTAGACATTCGGCAGATTTGATCATGGTTCAGCATGATGCAACATAGGTCTGGCTTCCCCGACAAACAGGCAAGTGCAAATATGAGCTGATGTTGTTTTGACGCAAATGATTTTGTCACTTTGCTCCGCTGCAAATTGACGTGGACAAAAACAGGTGTCCACCAAAGGCTATTCCTCTACACATGGGTTTGTTCGTGTTGCATGCCAATCTGTAGGGGTGTTCAACATGTATCAAGCAGGATGTGAGGAGGTTGAAAAATGTTCAGGCGCCAAGCCCATGTGCGCACAGTGTGGAAATTTACTCCATTTGCACCAGGAATGAGCATTTTCCGGGTGCATGTCAAAATCAGGGGGCTCCCACAGGCTATAAGACCCATCAACAGGGGGCCCTAGTTTGGACACCTCAAGTGCCTTTTGGCCATTGGGGCAGGGATTGGGGATTTGTCCAACGAATGAATATTGTCTTGTTGCCACTATGAGACGAGATGGGTCACATGCTGCAGCAACGCTAGTGGAGATATGAGATATCCATGCCTTGGTGGGGACGACTTTGAAACTCATTAAGTCAAACAAACGGGGGGGCTTTCAGCACCCAGCGAAGCTCAAGAGCAAAACAGAAGACACAGAAGCTCCAAAGTGTGCAGCCGGAGCCGATGCCGTGATTCCCTACCAGTGATGTCATTTGCCATTACAGCAGGGAACCAACAAAATTACTCTTTATGCCTAAGGCCAAAAGTCAAATGGCAGGTTACCTACCAAAATGGCAGCATCCAGGTCAACACGATGAAGCATGCTCAAGCTTTCTTGATCAGCAAGTCAGTGATTCCCAAAAAGGCGACCCCCGCCAAATCAGGCGGGCGGATGTTTGAGTGCCTTCGAAGACGACACAGGTTGCTCATCCAAGACTTGAATCAGAGGAACCCAAGAAGGGAGCATTAATACTTGCCCGTGATTTATTTGATCTTCCCCACAATGAGGGAGAAGCCTGCCCGCACTCATGGAGCTGGCGCCTTCGTATACTTGCCCGTGATTTAAAATGCCTGCCTTAGCAACCCTTTTGGAAAAGCCACAGTCCAGGGTTGGCCACCCCCCTTCAAAACATGTTCTAACCAATCTTGTTACAACCAACTCCTTTGCTTTCCCCCAAAAACCGACACTCTTTGGGTTCGGCCGCTACAAGGTTCATATCAATAAATTTTCTTAAAGTTGCGCTGCCTTTGTTCGATCGCCCGTTTTTCCCTTTTTTTTCTCCCCAGCTTTTGGGGCGTAAGGCTTACGGCCCGATCCCGATCGGCCAGCTTCGACGCTTCGGCGAAGCTGAGGCCTGAAGATCAAGTCCCAAGCCGGCGCCCAATGGATCCCGACGGAGCCGGTTGAAGCCTTTGCCGCGGCGGGAAAAAGGTTTGGTTGTATACCGATGGTTGGTGGGCTGATTGGAGGACGTTTGGTTGGATGGTGGATTTGTTTGTTTGTTTGTTTGTTTGTTTGTTTGTTTGTTTGTTTGTTTGTTTGTTTGTTTGTTTGTTTGTTTGCCAGCCAGTCATTCAATCGGCCGGTCGGTCGGTCAGTCAGTCACTCAGTCAGTCACGGATTGTTAGTCACTTGCTTGTCAGGCACTTAATTATTTGTTGGTTTATTTATGCGTAGGGTCAGCGTGGAAGCTGGTAGACTATACAAGCTACCAGGTTGTTTGAAATCAGCACACAGCTCCTGCGAAACATAGAGCGCGCGCCTGAGGGTTGTTGGAAGACCCATTCAACAAAAAGGCTGTCAGGTTCTATGTCGGGGCGGTACCCATGAACAGGGGTTTGAAGATGGAGTGGCTATCAGGACACACTGGGGATGGGGAGTTGTGGCAATTCAGAGCAAACGACACAATACCACACGCCCACACCCCGAGCGGAGGACAAGTAATTTTCTGTTTTACAGTGGGCAAGAAACAGTACGGTCCGCTGAGACCATGGTGATTGGATACAAAGTTTGTGCAGCTATGCCTGGCTTTTGAACGGCTACTTGAGTAACAAGGATCCCAGTGCCTGCCCCAACTGGCGATTTGAGTCATTCGAGCAAGCCACGTCCGCAGATGGGTGGCTGCTTCCATCCAACTTGAGATCACTGAAAACCATGGCTTCTTCGCACCTTGTCTCTTGCTGTGCTTAGCGGGGAATGAGGGAATGACCCTTATACACCATCCCTTATGGTTTCCTTTAAGGGCACCCCCAGATTTATTCCCTCATTCCGTACCTAGGGCACAGCGGGTTCAAACAGGCCACACTACGCGTGTTTTATCAATCCCCGACACAGCTGGTGGAATGCGTCCAAGAGGGTCCTCGAAGTTTCACTGGAGAACACAAGTAACCACGAGCATGAAGCCTTGTGCATCACCAGGTATTCAGCTTGTTTCCTATCCAAAGCCGACCTTTTATATTTGTTTAGTCCGATTTTGGTCCACTTTTGTCAAGGTCCGAAACGGGTAACCTTCATTTTGTTGTTCCAGGTCCCTTGAGCAAGTGAGTATTCTCTACTGCATTGAGTGCGTAGTTCCCCGACCCTTCGTGGCATTAGGTCCTGGATGAGCGCCAGGCGCGCGCAAAGCTGGATGGGTGCCTGGTGGAATCGCAATCGCACACGCTGCTGCGCTTTGCTTTGCTTTCTTAGGGCCATGTGGGTTACGGGAAAGCACCAAGGGCAATTTGTCCGGCGGAAGAGCTCGGGGATGGTGACAAGCTTCCTGCTTGGGGATGGTCACACTTGGTGCCGCCAATTTGTGTTCCCGAGATTTGCCAATTCGGCCGTGCAAAAGCAAACAATGCGGGGGTTCAGGTGGATTATACAAGACCCCCTTTTCGTCGTCCGCTTTTCCTTTGTTGTTTTTCAAATCGCTGGGACTTGGGAGAGCCCAACTCAGGTTGTTGAACTTGTTGAACAAATTGCAGATGTTGGCTGGGGCGTAATTAGTGCACAATGGTATGTGGCACATTGGGCAAGAACTTTGTAAGCAAAGACCCTGGTCTTAGGCATCGTGAATGTGGGTATCGGGATCCCGTCTGAACTTTGTGAGCCCTTCACGCCTGGCCTTTGCTGAGGTTATTGTTTGGTACCGTCCTACTGTGGATGGTTGCGATATCCATAAACCGCACGACTTTGAAACCATGGTTGAAACAGTTGAAACTATTGTTTGTTGCTGTTTACAGGGCAATCGAATCAGAAACCAGGCTTTCTGAACGGTGGTGCGAAACGGATTTCGTCCATCCACAGTACGTCTTTGACCTTACACAAGATGATAGTGACCAGGCTGGCTTTTGGATAAATCACGGTTTAACCACGTTTCTGGGTGGGGGGCAGTGCATCTCCCTGTGCAGAGCACCTTAAAGTGTCGCCTTAGCTGGAGATCAGCTTTGAACTGCGGTTGCCAGGGTCTCAAGAGCAAGCCAAAGCACAGGCAGATGTTCAGACAGGAATGCACAAGAAACTGGTGTCTAGTGTGTATTTGCCAAGTTTCCCGTAAAGAAACTGCACCAAGACATCCGCGCAGGTCTCGATTTCAACCGCTGCTTCAGTGTCCAGTGATGAGGAGGTTGTTGAGGCGCTTGTTTGGTCGGTCGTCATGGCAGCTACGAGGTTGTTTGTTTGCCAGGATGCCACAAATGCGGCGACATATCCTGACATATCATGACTCATGTTGATTTCCGCTGAAGAGAACCAGTGGAGGGACAGTTCTTGATTTGTTTTGGCCCCCACTCACAGAAGGTCATTTGAGCCACAATCAAGTCTCGGGTAGATGAAGGTTAGTTCGGGGCAGTCCCAACCAGAAGAAGTTGCGGCCGCCTTCTTAATTCTTTACATGGTTCTGGGTAGACCATTTTAATACCGGGTTTTGATTGTGATTCATTTGGACCCAGGGCGCGTACCCACTGAGTTGTCATCCAACTTTCATGTGAGTTGGGACACGATAAGTCTTCAGCGAACCCCTGGAGCTCACTAAAACCATGCCATGCATTGGCTGGGATTGTTACTCTTCAGTGCTTGTCAGTACAAATTGCTTGAGCTGTAGCTGAGATGCGCTGTGCGCACCCATGCTCACTCAGCATCACTTCTGCAACACCTCGGCACGTTTCCCATGACTTCCCCACTTCAAAAGCGCAGGTTGGTGGTACACACCAAGTCTCGGTTGGAGTTCTTGGATCAGCCCATTTTAGCCCCTCTGATCTTTTGTATCTCTGTTTCTCCATACTTACCAGCAATGGGGTTGTGTCAACATGACTAGGTGGCTGTTGAAAGACGTGCTCCTGTTGGTTTCCCCAACCAAACCCAAAACGGCGTACCCGAACAACACAAGCCAGTAATTTGGGCGCTGCTTAAGGGCGTGTAAAATATGCTTTGGTGTGGGCGGAGCAAACGAAATCATGCTTTCAGTGTCATGGTTCGTATCTTTGCCAATGTTATTGTCATCGTCCTTGACCTTCAGTTTGCTGATGGTCATTTACCGCCCGCGCAGCACGTCCTGGCTCAAGATTGCGTTGCTGAGAGACAGGTTTTGCTGACGGGCCACCGCCTTGGCGTGTGATGCTCCGGAAGCTGCGTTATTCCGAGCTTTAATCTGAGTGGCAGGAGGGGCTCTCGTCGGGTACAGAGCCGGTGCTCCAACTCTCTCTCTCCACCAGGACTTCCTGCTCAACGATTGCCAAGCGTGGACCTGAGTAAGGTTGCCATGCGCCCTCGAACTTTCAATCGTCAGGGGGCGATGTCGCGGCTGCCGTCGCTTCTACTGACGCTGAGGCTGCAGCTTGTTTGCTGTTGCTTCTGAAGATGGCGGTAATGATCGTGATGACGACGAGCATGGTGGTGCTAGCGCTGGTGATGACGGTGGAGCCGCTGCTCTGTTGGCGCCGCTGCCGGCGCGTGAAAGCATCTGACAGGTTTACAGCACGCCCAGGCAGCTCTCCGGCGAATCGTGGGATCGCCAGCGCAAGTCGTGCCGATTAGGTGCCATGCTGGCTTCCACAGCACACCGTCCTTCTGCGCCCTACTGCGCGCGCTGTTGACAGAACTTTGTCGACGGCGGCGACGTGTTCTCACTGTCAGCATTGCTGATGTTCAAAACGAAGTTTTGTGTGTTGTCATGTTCATTTCCTTGTCGTGTCGGCTGCTTTTGCCTCCTCCCCACCTTGTCGGAGGACCTGGAACACGACATCCGCGTGGCAGTTCCGGAGGCGGGGGACAAGCGTGAAGCCACTACCTTAGGATTCATTGGCGCTTTTGGGCTGCGGCCTGTGTGGGAAGCTACAATGGCAGCCGCCTCGCCTGGGCCTCAGATGCCCAACCCCAGGAGGCGCAGGTGTTTGCGGAGACGCCAGGATCGCCAACCGCTTGCCTTGGAGCTGGGTGCAATAAACGTATATAATCTTACGCAGGCTCATGCCATCAGTCAAGTCCCCTTCATGTAGGCAAGGGCTGCCTTCACTCGAGCGGCCCCCACCACCAAACTCTTGGGCTGGCGCCGGCAAAATTCAGGTCTTTTCATCCCTGCCTGGGAGGACAGTGTCGCTGGCAACCGCAAGCTTGATGTTGTCATGCTACAAATATTGACGTTGACAGGATTCGCATCACCAACTATCAGCTCAGCGCAACACTGTGGCTGTACCAGGTCTTTGCCCGTCATTAGAACCCCTTGTCACGAGCGCCCGCCGTCCCCTCAAGCGCCCTAGCCAAGCACGGGTTGGTTCAAGGAAAAGGCACTGACAATCCTGCAAGAGAAAAGACACTGACGAGTTAGGTGGGTTCGAGCCCTTCCCTCTGCTTCTTGGCCAAGTGGACAGCGTACCTCATGTCCTTCTTGTCGACGCTGATCTTGCGGCACGCCATAGTGGGCCCGCCAGCTTGCAAAAGTCCCGACCGCCAGCTGGCTGTTGTGTTTAAATTGGGGCTTGGAAGAAGAATAGTCTGTGTGGGCCAGGGCAATTCTCAGGCATGGTCGACATGCTGTTTGCTGGTCCTTAAAGAGACCTGAATGATTGAAAATTGAGTTGGTTGGGGGCATACTTCGCGTTACACATGTAACTCATTGTGTTGAAAATGTCATTCTCACTTTGGCCGTCACTGTGCCGTGCTGCCCAACCAGTTGCAAGTTCAACTTCCACCCTCCCCGCAGCACAATTATTGCCACTATGGATGACGAGTGGTCCGTGAAGCGGCTGAGCGCTGTGGGATTGTCCGACCAAGTCAGATTGTTTGTTTAAAGGTTTGCCAATACTGATTGCGTGGAACAAACTCAGGAGGTCTACTTCTGGCACTTGAGTTGCCGTCGGTCGTATGCCAAGTGACTTCGCCGCAGTTTGAGACCCAGTTGTGGGCAAAGCTGCCAGGCGCGTCCTGAAACCTGGCTACTTTGCACTCTGTATCGAGGGCCTGCTCCAAAGCAGTAATGAGCGCCATCGCTGCTGCGTCGACATTGTCATTACGTCTCTAGCGCGCAATTTGGCCACGACCGAATCTTGATGCATGCGTGGCGAAGAAAACACATGCAGCTGGATGACAAAGCACATAGCAAATAAACCCGAAACAGGGGTTTCAAACAACAAGCTCCTCATTTCAACAGTTTGCGCAGCAAATTTCTCATGCCCTTAAGCAGCGCCCTTTAAGCAATATGCCGAAGACACGTTCAGCGGTTTTTCTTTTGGCTTGTGAGCTCCCCGCTGCCCGCAGGAAGTGGAAGACAAGCAGGCTAGCTGGGACTGACGTGTCGGAACTTCTACGTGCTGTGTGCTGTTGTATTCCGTCGGCTTTGAACATGACTGGTACGCTTTGTGGTGACTACGGTGCGAATAGTTTTGGTGGCACCTTCCGCAAATGGAACAGGTCTTGAAACAGATGCGGTGTGCTCAGAGAGGGGAACTTTGGGGCAGTTTTTCAGGGGGGTCCCCCTTTCTATAGCACATGTTCCGAGCAAAGGCCTAAACGGTTGAGTATTGTCTTGGCCAACCAACTCAGCATGTCAGAGTTCTGCAACACCTGTCCAAGGCCTGTTTTGGGATCCCCTTGCTCAATGTGAGTTCAAGAGGGAGTGCTCCTCAATTTTACGCAAGGGTCATCTTGACATTTCCAAAGTGGCAAGCTCGGATGTTGTACCGGGATCTCCTTTCCCCTGTTTCCTCTCGGGTAAGCTCGACCAAGGCAGGACCCGCGGAAATCGGAAAGTGAGAAACAGTCGTTTCCTTTGCTCTTTCCGAGCCTCGCACAGTTGGCATTCACCGCATGATGTTATTGTGTTCCGAGTTGAGAGACTGCGGGCAACAAGATAGTTTCCATTTGCACGACTTGCAGGGATCTCAGCAAGTAGCGAATTGCAGCAGTGGAGCGCCTTGGCAAGAAAGCACTTGGCAGCAACAACCGTCTACCATGGAAATATCCTTCAGCTTCAGGCTCCCTACCAGTCGGGTGATGTTCAATGCCTTTCGCAAAATAGTGCGCGGAGCTTTCTGGGATGGTAAGCGAATGGAGTATCCACAGTGGAGCAGCGGCCACTTTCTTTCGGGCTACAGTTGGGCTGGGAGCCTATCGGCTTTGCTGGTTGGTATTGGTTTTCTTACCTCTGCAAAACACAACTTTTCAACTTTTCGGGTAACATGGGCTATATGTCTGTAAAAGATTAACTTCTCAGGGCTTGGAGTTTTAAGGGGTAAGCTTTGGGTTGGCCCCTAGTATGGGTTCGCCCTATTATGGGCTTGTGCTATGGTCAGTCACTCTCTCGGGCAAGGCTGATGCGGAGCCGCGGCGAGCCATCAAGGCGCGGAACTCTTCATTGGGTAGACTCGGCCAGGGCTCACTCTTGGTTTTGGGTTGACTCAAAACTTGTATCAGAGTCTGAGGCCGCGGCCACTTTGATTGACTTCGGCACTTAATGTGGGACCGTTCTTAATATGACACCTTTCCCCAAAACAACTCAAATACAACAAATGGAACCGTGCTAGCTGTTACAAGGTTTTAGTGGGATTTGGGCATGGGCTTAAGCCCGTCCAATGCACAACTTAGTAAGGCCAGTTCACATCCAAAGCGCCCAGTGTAGAAATCTGTCACATCTTTTGAGCCGAGCACCCCGCATTGGAAGATAAGTGAGAACTGAGCGCTCCTAGTGAAGGTTTCAACATTCCCGGATTGTCAAAGTGACAAATGGGGCTGTTGCTCTTTGAGCTGCCGCTTTGGGGTTACAGAGAACGATTCTAAGGGTCGATTCCCCCATTCGTTTTTACCCATCCGTTTCTCCTGCCATGTTCAAGTGGTTCGGGTGCATGCCGTTTCCAAGCATGATGGACAATCAGGGACACCCTGAAAGTTTGCCGGTTTGATTCGATGTGACTCACGTGCGGCGCACTCAAGCAAACTGATCGCTTTCAACGAAAACTGGTCCGGCTACTGGCCCTCAGCTTCCTCAAGCACCCCTCTTGGCCATTTTGGCAAGAGCTTGCACTTCCTGTTTGAAAAGGGTTATGACGAGGACGCGGCATACATGCATCACACATGCACACACACAGGCAGATAGGCAGGCAGGCAGGCAGACAGAGAGAGAGAGAGAAACAGACAGCAGACAGAGACATAGACAGACGGAAACAGACAGAGAGGGAGGTAGACACGAGCAGACAGAGACCGACACAGACACACATGCATTCATGCGCGTGGTTGTTGTTCATTGTGTTATTCCTTTGTTCATTCAAGCATTCGTTCATGTATGTAACACTGCCTTTTGCACACATACATTTATGTACTTTCCCAAATTTTTGGTTTAGAGTTCATATTGTTTTGGCCCGGTCGTTCGGGTATCGTTTTGTGGTATGGTACAGATATTGTTGTTTGCCGATTTTTGGTTCTGGGCCCCGGCGACAAGCGTTCCAGGTGACGGCAACCCCCGAAGCCAAGCACGCCATCATGCTTGTCAAATGCATTTTAAGTGTTGCCTCTAGCGGCGTTTTTTTTTTAGTGTTTCATTGTTTCCGGGTTTTCCGCGTATTCTTGTTAAATATCAGGGGACGTTATCAAAGCCTTGGATGCGCGATAGGATATCCGTCTCAAACGAGAAACTGGCCCCTGCAAATGAGAGTTGCCTCAACACGTGGCCGTAATGTTTCTTGTTTTGCCGAACATATGTGAGTTTGTATCGAGGGACCATCCTCGAACATTGGAGTATGCCACTCAGTGTAAAGGATGTCCACTAAAGCGGGCAGCCAATGAAAGGTAACGCGCATGCAAAGTTGAGTCGTTGGGCTTCAGTCAGTTGACTCCGCCCAACTGCTGGAGGGCTCCGGGCTTCGTTTGATGCTCGCTTGTTGCTGGCCAACCCAAACTCCGAGCTGCAAACCATGTTTACATAAACGTCTATTACGCATAAGCTTTTGTTCTCATGGTGCACCCATCAACACGTTTTGGGTTGCCTCCAAGCCCCTCCCAAACCCCACCCCTCTGCCGCTCTTCTGCCGCAAGGTGTCGAAGCGCCGAGCTCTGGCGCTGCAGCTTGACTGCTCTTGGGGCCACGGATCTTTAGACAAACAAAAACAACTTTTTGGTTGAAAAGTTTGGATTTCCACTAAACCATTGGGATTTCCAGAAAGGGGCTAAACCAGAAAGTCTAAACCAACAAGTTTTTTATAATCTTTTTGCAGGGGTCGTTCCAAAGGCAACAAGAGCTCCTCGCCTCCTTCGTGGCGCCGGACTTTCAAAAGGCACTGCACGAACTGGCGAGGACAGCGGGCCTCGGGGACGGGGGGAGCGAGTCGGGGGAGACGATGCGTCGGTTGGGTTGGGTGAGGGCGTTTGGGACTGGGGTGCGTCGGTGGTTGGGTGAAGGCGTTTGGGACTTAATGAGGCGGTTTTTTGGGACTTGGGATCTCCGATAAAAGATGCCGACCTTCTTCTTTCTAAGGTGATCCGCTTGTTTTGTCGATTTCTTGGTGGACGACCAGCTTTTGCGGGTCCCCGATTTTTAGGCGAGAGGGTTCCCAGTCCTGCGAGGAAAACTGCCCTTGAGACGGAGAATTGGTCATTTGAAGGGTTTCCATGGGTATCACAGAAGTGCTAGTTGAATCGGTTGCTGCGCCATATGTCGCCAGTCTGAAGTGTTGAGGGTTCAGGCTTTGATGTAAGTTTGGGGTTTTGGTGCCAATTTAAGGTTTAGGTGTAGGGTTAAAAATTCGGGTTTGGGATTTAAGTTTTGTGCGCAGGCAAACTATGGGGCTGGCCGTGCATGAATGACCTCCCCGCACGGGACCTCGAAGCAACCATGGATGCCACTGGTTCATGCTCTGAGTTGGCAAGTACCTTAAGTTGAAGTGGGTCGAATGTAGGCTAAATCATTTTGGGACTCTCTTATCATTGACAGTATCATGTTGGTCCCGGATTCGTCAACCTGTCGAAGTATTGGGACATTGCTGCTTCGAGGTATGCGATCCCGTCTCAAATGGAGGGCAACCGAGATTGAATCTAGGAATCTGGGGTCACTCAATTGCTTGTTCCGACAATTATGCACTACATCAACGAGGATGTGGAAGGAGTTTGTGGAAGCTACCAACCCATGTTGTTGGACAAAAAAAACCATTGGAGACTCCGACATGGGCGTCGTGCGACTGATCCATGCGCGCTTTGACATCTGACACATCCAGAGTTGCACAAGGCGGCGCTGGAGTTCCTTTCCCTTATTTCCCAGCACAACGTGCTGGATTCCCCTGCATCACTCTGGAGCAGATTGACGTGTTGCTAGCAACCACTCCGGCCTCTGGCGAGGGCAAACAGAGAACACTCCCCTCACCAAGGCTCTTGTTGGCTATGACAAGAATTTCCTAGGAAGGTTGTCTGTCCCTTCGCCTCTCTCAGCTGAACATGCACCGCATCGTCCACTCTCTCGCTGACGTTTTCTGAATGCCTGCGTCTACGAGACTCTTTTGGAAAGATTACCGAAGACACATATCCTTTGGGGGATTCCTTTGAATAAACTATCTGAAACAGGTGGGTGTGTTTATCCATCGGACCCCCAGCATGGCTGGTTTTCATTTCAGTTTTGTTTTCAATTAACAGCCAACAAAAAAAGTGCCCTCACAAAAGTGAAGACACGGGTTCCTCAGCTGCCCCCTTGAGCCCCCAAATCTCTTGAGACCCAGTCCGCGTCCGCAGGATTCACAATGACCTCAAGGGCTCCAGCCGCGAGTTCGCATCGGGCTTTCGGAAGTTGGTCAGGAAGCGACAGGCCAGCGACGGCCCCAAACAATCGTGGGGGTCTTGAGCGGGGGGAAGGGGGAGGGGGAGCTGGGGCGGGCTGGGGGCGGGATTTGTATGTGTACATATATTATCTGTATATCTGTATATATATAATATATATATATATTTAAAAAAAAAAAAAAAATATTTATATTTAAACATTTGCTTATTACATTGTATGCCATCATGTCACACACATACATGTGTATGTGTGTGTGTGTGTCTGTGTGTCTGTGTGTCTGTGTGTCTGTCTGTGTGTCAGTCTGTGTGTCAGTCTGTGTGTGTGTGTGTGTGTCTGTGTGTGTGTCGGTGTGTGTGTGTGTGTCTGTGTGTGTGTCTGTGTGTGTCTCTCTGTGTGTCTCTCTGTGTGTCTCTGTGTGTCTCTGTATATCTCTGTGTGTCTCTGTGTGTCTCTGTGTGTCTGTGTGTGTGTCTGTGTGTCTGTCTGTGTGTCTGTCTGTGTGTCTGTCTGTGTGTCTCTGTGTGTCTGTCTGTGTGTCTCTGTGTGTCTCTGTGTGTGTCTCTGTGTGTCTGTGTGTGTCTCTGTGTGTCTCTGTCTCTGTGTGTCTCTGTGTGTCTCTGTGAGTCTCTGTGGCAGCCCCCTGCGAAGCCGGGAGGGATGGCGCCTTAGGCAGGGCCCTGCATCTTGTGTGCAGAGGCTTTCTCTCTCTCTCTCTCTGTGTGTGTCTCTGTGTGTCTCTGTGTGTCTCTGTGTGTCTCTGTGTGTCTCTGTATGTGTCTCTGTGTGTCTCTGTGTGTCTCTGTGTGTGTCTGCGTGTGTCTGTGTGTGTCTGTGTGTTGCGCAGTATCGCAGAAAAGTTTGATCTCTAGAATCTTTTTTCGCCGTGGATGTGCAACACAAGGATCCCAGAGTGCCATTCTGGAGGTTGTCTTGACTCGGCTAAAGGCGTACTGGTATTTGCAGGAGAATCATCAGAAACCAGGGTGTCTTAGGCAGGGTTTTTTCTAAAGATACATTTTGCCCATTTGAAACATGGCTTTTTCCAAAATAAAGGGAAACCACCATTTACAAGTCAATGATCAGGTGTCTAGTGTAAGATCCCTGTTAGGTGGCTCAGGATTTTGTCCATCCACTGGCGAAAAAGAATCCGGGCTCAGCCTTGCCGTTTAGGATTCTCTTCAGCATGGCTCTGCATGCAGAGTATTGCGGGTACCCTTCGCCAGCGGTTGAATTTTGCCAGGGTGTTCTGCTTTTTAATTTCACAGTCAACGCAGGATGAGAGGGACTTGTGGCAAAATGACGGCAATGCCTCTCTTGTCTCAGACCTTGGACCACAGCCAAAGTTGATAAGCAAGCAGAAAATGGGTTACTTCCTTCTTTGAATAATTTGCTTCCAGCCTCAGCCAGGTAGAAGTCATCCCGAGATTCGGATTCGAAGCTTCGGAGGAGGGTGTGGAAGACATGCTCAGGCAAGCGGGGATGTGCGGAATGCGAAGCCTGCACAGATGTGGGCAAGTATTTTGGTTTTGCGCAGCGTGCTCCTTTTGCGTATATTTTTGTTTGGGGTTGTGAGAATCCAAAGTGCCATCGAGTATGTGAGACATGCCAGGTACTCGTAGTTACAAGTGGCTTTGGCGTTGCACTGCATTTGGCTCATCCGGTCATGGCTTATCGAATGGGAGAGATTTATGTGAAGTTGGCTTGAAGTGGTTAATTGGTATCATCCGCAGATTGGGCAAGCTAGCCTACTCCTGAAAGGGGATGGTTTTCGCAAGTTCCTACAGCCAACGTATGTTTGTCGCGTTCAGTTGAAAGGTTCGAACCAACCCTACCGAAATGGTTTTGCGGGAAGCGGCCAACGACTCCATAGAATCGGATGAATCGGACCACCAAGTCTTCGGCGCTAGTGGCATGTTGGCACTCCGCAACTTGAAACCTCCGCCCATCCATTTGAACGCAAGCGCGAAGGGAGGACCATGCAACTGGTCATGGTTTGTGGTCTGGGTACTTGCAACTTGCAATGCGTGTGGGGAATCTGCTGACGATTGTGAATTATTCTTTAGGCCGTATGGTTATTAATGAGCTTGTTCATGCTCGGGAGTCCGGGAATCCTAGGAGGGGGCCCAGAACGAGCATCAGGAGGGAGCTGTAAGTGACCTCAGATATGGACAATAAACTTTAG